AGCTATTCGTAGCGAACTTATCGAGTACGGCACGTAAAGTTTTGCACTACACAAAATCAACTTTGCATGACAGGCTTTTTCTAAAAAAAATAAAAAAATTTAAAAAAAATTCCGGGACGTTCCACTTTGCTTTACACTGTCGCCGATTTGGACTGGCAAAGGTGTAGATACTGTAATTGGGCTCGTCATAGTAAACGATGAGCGACCCCTTCCTTTAATGTGCTGCTAGGGCCTCACCAAATACACGTCGCTTTTTTATGTTGGTGTCGTTATTGCACGTGTGTGGCTCGATACGAACCTATCCGAAAATCATTTACTTAATACGTTTAGTAGTTGGCTTCTATCAGTTCGAGACCAACAGACCTGCTTGACTGTACACAGCTTATTGCACAGTTTCTTGCTGATAAGTGAAGTGCTTATGCGAGTGCCAAAGTTAAACCATAGCATATCCTGCATTTGCATCAGCGAATACAAACAATTCTCCTCTAGGTAGTCCACTCGAGCATCCTTCATCTCCTCAGTATACTTTGTGCACGACGCACGCACACCGCCTCTCGTCTTGATCTCGGCGGATCTGCGGTCGATGATGCTCCGGGCTGTGGTGGGAGGGATGCCATTGTGGTCTGCAACTAGCATCCAGTCCCTGTCTTACTTGTGAGCGTCCAGGACCCGCGTCCTGGCGGCAAGGCAGTGCTTAGGCTCCCTTGGCATGCGCGTGGAGATGAAAGTCTGGTTGGGGCAGGGGCTCTAAACCACCAGTTAGCGTTACACTAAATCCACGTTGCTCTACATACTATTTTTTAAACTTAAATTTAGAATTTTAACTGTTACTTTAGTTACTTTATTCCACTTTGGTTTACACTACCGCCAGTTTGGACATGCAAAGGTGTAGCGAGCACCGTTAAAGCGCCTGTCTGGTTTTACTCAAGAACACGATAATAGCTGCCTTCCTGAGGAGAAACCCCAGAACTTATCGAAAGAAATGCAGGTATTGCCAAGCTTGGGCCTCCGGTTGAATAATTTCTCGTTGGCATTATTGTAACGTTAGGCCCAGAGGTGTGTAAATAAAGACCGTTTATTGATTGCCGGCTCAGCTTCAATACAATCAATGATTGCAATCTTGTCAATCTTCAAGCTAGATATTGCAATATATTGTCGTTATCTGCACTACCACTGCGTCGTTGATGGTTTTATCTCGCTTAATGGCCTTCGACACGTCCGCAAGTGTCACAAAGTCCCAGTTCAGCTAATTGACTGGCCGCGCTTTTTCATGCATTCCTCAGCGACTGTTTCAAACCCATCGTGATGACTTCTCAGGTGCGTGATGAGATTCTTTTAGCCGGCCTCCTTCTTTGCTTGACGACTTCGTAGCAGGTTGTGCATGTGGGCTCCGTAGGTGTAGGGTCCTTGTACGGTATCTTGGCGATCTGGGCGCTCTGCACGGTGTGCTGCTGGTAGCTGACTTTGCAAGTATGTGGCAAATTGGATAATGACCACACAGCGAGCTCCAGGTATCTCTTACGACAAGTGTGCCAACCAAAATGGCGCCAAAGCAAATTGGGTATTCGCTCGTAGGCTCGGTTTCGAGCCTTTGACTGGCGGAACGCTGTTCTACCGTGGAAGATTGGGCAAATAGGCTCTAGGACCTAGGGGAAAAACTAAGATTGTGATTGCCGATCTTGACACGATCAATAATTGTGACTGACAATCTTGGCAATCCAACAACTCCAATCAATTTTTTTGCACACCCCTGCGTTAGGCCAATGTGATCTACGACGCTGTCATCGGGCGTCAAATGATTGATGCTGCATTGGAAGAAAAAGTGCAGTGGTGCGAGAGAGAGTTCAAAGCTTGCTACTAGATAGTGGAGATGAACAGCAGAGTCAAGAGCAGAGAATCGTTATAATGCTGGACGCAGCAGGAGGGAACGAGTGCTCTGACGAGATGCTGAGACTTGAGATATACCAAGCATTTCAAAAGGTTTTCGACCAGCTTGAAGAAGATCTTGCAGAATATGAGAGAGAATTCGTCAGCGCTGCATCAGCTAGTGACGCAGCTGGCAACATTGACGCTGCATCGTTCAGAATTCGTGGGTGGAATGAATCAGAAGAAGAGCTATTTTTTCTCGTTCTTCGCAGCTGTGAGAAGAAACAATGAGCTGGTAAAAAGAGTTCATTACTGTAGGATCAACTCGCATTAGTACCGCCCACTGTCCCTCTCTTGAAGATGAAGAAACACGTGAAATTCCATCAGCATCTTCGCTTCTTTCAAGAGAAACGGAAGGATCGACTACGAGCATTTAAACGGAAATTGGACAAGCTTCAGAGTAAAGCCAGTTGCAGATTTCGTTTATCTGCTGAGCAAGAGAAAGAGCGAGTACGGAGGCTGCAAGAGCTGAGTGAGATGCAGCAGCAATGCGAACAACGGCACCAACAGGTTTCTCAGTGGCGCGAGACGAAAGAAGCCAAAAAACGGATAGAACGACAGCAACGGGAGATTGAACAATTACTAGAAACTCAGAGACAGCGTGAGGGAGAAGTGCAATGGCAACGAAGGCATGATCAACAGAAGTATGCTGTCGACAAGTATAAAAAGTAGTAAATACTGCAGAAAATAGCCGAGGAGAACTGTACGATGGAAGAAGAGCAACGACGAGAACGAGAACGAGCGCTTCAGAGTGTCGCTAATGCTGAAAGAGTACAGTACCGACACGACGAAGTCCAGGTTCGTATGGGTTGTATTATTATTTTTTAGTACTTGAAGAAGTATTATATTCATTTGGATTGTTGTAGCGCAAAATCGACGAGTGAAACATCAAGAACTTGATCAAGCTCGTTTGGAAGAACAGCGATTGGTCAGGCTGAACGAGTTGAAGGAGACAACACCTTACGCTCAGATCGTCACCAACATAATAGTACGAAATCTTGAAGACATTTTTTTTTACAGTTATCGCATATTTTTTTCTTTGTGTCACTGTAGCCAGACCGGAACGCACTCGACAGGAGACTGCTGCCTTCCGTGCTAACGTCGAAGCTACCCAGGAAGGTCTTCCAATTACTGTACGAAGTTGGCCTTCCCCTTTTCGTCGCTAGTGTACTCATCTTTGTTACTGTAAGAGGAAACGGGATTGTTTCCGAGTCATGGATACGACTGTGAGACGCTATTCAAGAATGCAAGATTCAAACTGGGCATTGCTCTACGGGTAAGTTATTGTTACACTATAGACCTTGGATGTCGCTGCTTACTCTTTCTTTTTTTTAGAATAGTGGGCGAAACTCGAGTGAGTATGCGCGTCAAGGACTAGCCAATGTCAAGGCTTGCAACGTAGGAGCGTATCGAAATCACGTTGCCGAACCTACCAAGCTTTGGTAATAACATCGAAGTAAAAAACACACTTTTATTTTCAATAAAATAAATGTTTAAGCGACGAATTGTAAGGCTCCTGAATCATAAAATAGGTTCGATTCGATAGCCAGTTGCGTGTCGAGTTTGTGCAAACTTTTCATCGTTCGTTTTCGCAGTCCGAATTGTTCTTGCGCCGTCGTTTGGATCATATTTTCCACTTGTTGCAGTCTCGAAGCCAGCTCCGCCTTTGACAGCGCGGCATTCTGCGCTTGTATCGACTGCGACGCTGCAGCTTGTCGTCTGTGCGCTCGATTCATCCACTTGACACAATTCATCTGAAGTCGACGCGTGCGTTTGTCTGCATGAGAAGAGGCTTTGACACTCTGCATCGCCTCATTAAGCTGAGATCGCTCCCTTTTTAGGCTCATCGCTTGAGCAAAGCGCGTATTGTTAAAACTAAATCTTACAAAAGTCTGGAAAATAATTCAGCAATAAGTGAAATGTTACCAACCATTACCAGCAAATGCGTGTCTCGACACCAAAGTCTCCAGTCGATTGTGTCATACATTTCAGATAGTTTGTCCTCGTCATCCGGAGCTATTGTCACCTTTTGACAGTCCTCCTCTCGTGTCAAGAGATTGCGACTGGCATTGTGGCGTTGCAACCGGCAGCTCAGCACACCTGTGTCGGTGTCCAGCGCTTCCTGGCCTTTGGACAGCAGTGTGCGGGCGCGTTTCTCCCATATTGGGCCTAAAAAACTCCCTGCTCAGCGTTACGAGCCACACACGCCACTCGACAAAGCTCCTGTACGTCCATGAACTCCCAAATGTGTTGTTTGCATTCATCCACGAGCTCCAGCAGCATGCTTGTCGCTTTTCTCATCCTTTTATTGAATCCAATTTTTTTAGTAAATTTAAACTTGCAATTGTGAATTTTTGGTTCAGAAAAAGCTCTCAACATGGCTACATTCAGTCATTTGCATGATAATAGCGATCGAATTTCGCTTGCTGCGGAGGCTGTTCCTTGTCTCAATACGAGGACGCTTACAATGGAGAATTTACGACGGGATCGCTCGTTTTATCTGGGATATTAAGCTGATAACGACCCGCAGCCGGCGTGTTTGGTGACATTCCCGTATGATCCTGCACTGAACAAACAAGTTGGTGAAAGACGAGTACTAATAAGAAAAGATCGACGTCTAGGCGCCAGCAATCCGATCGACAATTACTATGTACAACTATCTATGCCGCGAAAAATGCGGAGCTTGCCGTTAAACGAAGACTCATACGGGAAATATCAATGTACAAAACGATGGGCATACACTGGCAATCACTGTCAAAACAGCGGTAGATAAGATCTGTACATTTTCAACGAACTGACGTTCATTGTCCAGTACTTGTCGCGGTAGATTAGGTTTTACTCTAGAATTTTGCATTCTCGCTCCACTTCGCTTTGGCGGGATAATTATTCCAAAATCTCTGAACCCCCCTTTGCCTAAATCGACTTCTCTAATTTCATAAATATGGGTCTCATTTAGACCTGTCGCTACAAAATTCTGAGTTGCCAGTAAGCCGTGCAATTATTTCCACAAAAGACTGAGCCCCTAGCATCATGCTTACCATGCTGAAAAAAAAAGATTACTCTAGTGATCTTGACAAAGTCTCTTTATTATTGTTGGCTATCACTGTACCTTCATCTTCCACTCAGAATCACCTGCACTTCAAATAGCACGTCTACAAATGCTACACAATATATTTTGTTTAGCTTCGTGCTCGATTTCGTGGGCCGTTTCTAAAACTTAGCTCGTATCAATGCAACTGCCCGCCTGCACTAATTACCCGCTTGTACTGCCGGTTTAAACTTGTACTAAATTAACTGAAGATTAATCACCTCTCATATGAAACTCAATGAAAGCTACTTTGAATTAAAAAAAATCATACTATAATGCATTGAAGTGTGCTCATTTTGTGCTGCTTCACATTTAGTCATTAGACACTCCAATCTATGCCAGTTAAGGCTAAAGCATCATGATATAACGATGCGCCTTGCTGTTGTTGTTGTTGACGGCGGTGTTTTTTATTTGATACTTTAGCGATGATTTCAGGATTCCTGAAATCAAAGGGGCTATGAAATTTGTGAATAAGTAGCTTTGTCTGTTTAGCACTCAAATATTAAAACGATGCCGCCTTCGGATACCGGTAATGGATAGTGAGTGCTGTAAACGTACGGTCACCAAGTGCCCCAAGAACAAAAACAGAAACTTCTAGCTTACAACTGCGCGCCCTACTGCGCGATACTAAATGCCTGCTGTGTCCATAGTTTATTCAATATTAACAGTATTGCTGGGTCCTCGTTTGACGGATACGACAGCTTTTTCTGACGAGGAGAGGATATTGGCAAATGATATGCTACATGTAGGGGCGAACTGTAACGGGGTACGTAGCCCTAAGTGTACCCTGGTTACATGAAGTGTGACACGTCATACTTCGGTATATTTGGTACAAGGTACCAAGGTCGTCCAAAGCCAGCCATTGGTTGATGACATTGCATTTCTATAGGTGATTTATAGTTTGTATTAAACCTAAGCTTTACCTACCTACATATATACTCAGTTTACATTCTACCTTTAATAGTTGATAAAAAGAGGATCTGTGAACTGCCGTTCACTGAGAGTTTGTATACTCTCGGAAGCTAACTTCCTCTAGCGCAAGGTGCTGTGTGACCCCGTCACATAAACGCAGCTATGACAGTGGCTAGATTGATTATCCCTCTAGTCGAGATTTCGTAACGCTCGCGCCTGTCGTGCCAAATAAGAGAAGGATAGTGTCATTTTTCACGGAATGATCTTTCGGAGAGCAACAGGAAAACCCCGCGTGACCCAAACGGCTGACGTAGACTCACAGGTCTGCCAATGTCTAGCTTAGGTAAGCAGCTTCCTAGCGCCTGCTTCCCTGGGCGAAATCGCCACTGGCATGGTGGAAGGTACTCGAAAATAGGTGGGATTTGTGCCAACCTCGCTTCCATCTCGCCTATAGCCAGCGCTCCTAGAATGTGCTGAAATGTCGTCAGAGAACACCGCATGTCGTAAGTTACCCCAAATTGGAAAGTACAGCGGGCAGATCTGCTGCAGATCTGAGTATAAGTGGTGCAGCGAGCTGATTTATGAATCCAACCGAACAAAAAAGACAGTGCAGAACGTGCAAAGGTTCATGATAAGCTTTGTTACGATCGAACAAAAGCTCACATATATTTGATGTTGCACAGAGAATGCCTACTCTTCTCCGCTCTCATTTATATCGTCGCCATCTTCCCCTTCACGAAGCACCAGCTCTCGGCGGGTCTTCTTGTGTGCACCAGCCTTCTTACCCGACCGCCACAGTACAACGCTCTTGCCCAGGGTAGCGGGTACGTTTTGGCTGCAATCGAAGTCGTCTCAAAGCATGTTTGGACGATTCCCTTATACCGCCGTCGTATCTTATTGCACAGCCAACACTTTAGCGTCATCAATAGAGCAACGCTCGCAAAAGAACGTCGTAGCGAACAACTTCTTCTTACGATCCGAGCGCAAGAGCGCACAGACCTTGCACGACCGCTGTCGGCGCTTTTGAACGCCTGTAACAGTCACCGAGTCATCCGATTGCTCCACGGCATGCGTGAGCCGTAGCTGGGGACGATTTCTTTTTGGCTGCTTGGTGGCGGTGTGACCACTATACCTGCAACATCCTCCACCTTTGCCGCAGCAATTAGTTCTGCAGGACTCTAAACCACTATCCTCGTTTCATTGTTTGCGTTCCAGTAATACGTGCAGACTCCCTGTGCGAAATATACGCATTAACTAGGGCTAGATCCACGAAGACCAAGAATAGGTCTTGTAATACTTCTTGAGCTTAGTGGACATCTGCAACGAGTACGTTTGTAGGCGGAGTTGATCATGCACGTCAACTCCGCCCATCCAATATTGGTAGTCGGTCACAGCTGCTGGACAGGGAACGGAGACTGATTCAACCCGCTTGATGTTTTTGGCAAATCGTCGTCGCTGTCATTGCGGAGCCTGTACACAAGTAGTGCACAGGTTTCCGGTCCCACCAGTAAAAAGCTATCATGTTGGGGATGGCCACTGAGCGGGAGAACGTGAACGTGCCCCGAGGTATACTAGCTGGGCGTGACTTGCCCTTCTTTTTTATATTCGCATCTTATCCGAGCCGGTTGGTCATGATAGTACCAATCACATACACCTGTATATATCGCCAATAGCTCGATAGCAAGTAGAATTGACGAGTAAAAGCGGTGCGTGCCATGGGTGCCGCGTGTTGGGGTCAAGGACAGTCTTCAAATTCCGAACGGCTGCAGATGCACCGGTCTTATGATTAAATGATGCGTTTTAGCCGTCTCCAGCTCTGTACTTGCCCGTACATAGCTTGAATCTTGTAACATATGACATAAACGGTCAGACACGTTACTTAAGACGTAACTTACGACATACAGAGAACTGCAAATACATATGGCAATATGCAGTTCTTGAATCACACACCATAAGTATTTTTGATTCGTATCGATGAGGCTTATCGGGCATGAACATTCTTATCGTGTTTCGTGAAGAAATGGAAGGTAGTACGCCTTCGTTGAAGGAGAACACCGCAGTTAGAGTCCACGCTGCCAGAAAGCGATCTTGCAACGTATCTGCAACCATTCGCAGCTTCCACAGTTTGTCCTGTGTACGTTTTGCCTCGTTGTCCACGAAGTACAAGTCACGCAAGATATCTTGGCATCCATTGCGTCCCATGAATCTCCCGAAATTTTCGGCGGGAACGGCTCCCTCCTCCACCATCAAACCAGTGAGCAGCAAACCGTCGGATTTGCGGACAAAGCATACGCGCTATTAAGAGCCCGATGACGTGGAAAATCTCGTGTGTCTTGTATCCCGGTTTCGCTTTCAGCCGCCGACTGATTTGTTTGACAGTTTCCTGCCGTCGATCGTTTTGCTTCGCATGTATTCGCTCCGCCCGCCGGTTGACCTGCTGAGCGTC